GAGGAAGGCTATGAGTATTTGTTTTGTCATGAACCTTTTTCGGACCACTTATTTATTTATTTTGGTGACGATCCGACCTCCATGCTGCTACTCTGGTTCAAACGGCATCCACCAAACAATATGATTTATCTCGACCTCCCCAAAATAACCAAAATCTGACACGGTGTGAGATGTCTTTTTTTGCTGTTCTGTCGTCATTTCCTGCGATCTTCTTCATGCAGTCAGTCAGAATGAATGGGCGTTTCTTTGACTATTTATAGGCAAATATGGGCGTTACGTGAAGCTCGCAAAAGCTGCACCGCATTTCGAGTCGATTGTGATTTATAAATGGAAACCGGCGTAGGAAGTGCTGTACGCACTTTCCTCGCCGGTACGCAATGTTTGGTGAATCGGAAAATATCGGAAAATTTCTGTACCTATTTTTTGGATTTCTACTACGTAAGCAACCTTCCCACGTGAATCCTACGCACAGCGTTATAAATGAGGCCCCAGGAGAGGACATAAAGTATGGACAGGCAGACTGGAAGTGAGAAACACTTTCTTATGATATACAGTAATACATTATCTATAACGTTTTCCAGCAATGAAAAATATGTTTTGCATTTATAAGCACTACACACAACATTAAAAGGGTTTACATATAACTATAATGTAGTTGTTGTAGCAGTAGTGTTTAGTAATATATTCATTGACGACTACTCCTCCTATGGGCATCAAGTGGGGGCTGCTGTATGGACAGATAATACATTTGTTGTAATATTATTAATAACATGTATTTATAGAAGAAGTTATATATATATATATAGATCTCATTATTTATTTTTTACAAATCACGTACATGTAACTGTTAAAATGTATTTGTAGCTGCTTATAACTACATTATCACGTTTTATAAACAATGTATTACGTATACAATTGCGTTTATACTTTTACATTAACACAAATATTTGATAGATTGTTGATTTGTTTGTTGACAAATTTGTGAATAGACTTACAATAAAGAAACAACAAAACGTTATGACTAAGACGTAAAAAATGTGTGTGCTAGGCAATTTATTGGTCTGGCTCTTAATGGGACTTTGAAGGCAGCATTTATTTACTGGTGGGTATGACTATGTTTGACTTTGAGTCATCTACTGACAATGTAAAACACCTGTAGGCAAGTCAAGAAAGAATGCACCCTAAAAACAAAATTGTCTGATGATGGTCCACTTTCAAGAGTGTCAGGATGACTGGGGAAGAAAGCCTGTGGATTTTGCAAAACTGTTTTGTAGTCTAACATGAAAGTGGCAAATTTCTGAAAAAACCTGATAACAAACAGTAGGCATAATGTTTATTATCTGTTATTATATCTTGGGGCTCTGTTTTTTCCTAAACAAAGGGAAGGGTGCTACTAAGCTAATGCATGTGTCTACTCTGGCTATTAAAAAGAGATCACAGATTGTGACTCAACCAGCGTACATAAACACAGACAGGGTGGTCCAACATGCTTCTGGCTTTCTGTGTGTGCGCGTGTGTGTGAGTCTCTTCCCAGAAATGTGCAGCAGTAAACACACAAAGAGGCACAGAAGTAACATTACCACTGGCTGGGAGCATAAACAGTGACACACAACGCAATGCAATGCCCCATATTTTCATACACATTTGTGGGTACAAGCACATACTGCATGTCACTGCACATATCTCAAAGGGCAAGAAACCATGTGCAATCAGAGGTGCAGAGAGCAATTGTGGGGCCCCCCGAGAAAGCTGCCCTGCTTGGACTGGGAGCCTCTGGCTGTCCCCCTGGGGCTGAAGGAGGCCCTTACCCTTCACTCTTTCCTCCATGACACTAACCAGACACAGCAGCACATACACATTCAGGGACGGGGAGGCGGGGGTTCTGTGTGTGTATACGTATATATGAGAGAGACCAAGAGGCAGACATCAAGAGGGAGTGAAATGAAGGGGGGACAGAGAAAAAAGCGGGAGACGTTAACACATACGCTGACAGCCCCCCAGCTTTAACCCGCAGCTTAGAGCATTTGTTGACGTTTTTTCATATCCTCCTCTCAGTCTCTTCCTCGTAAAAGAGAGCAATTACATGTCCAGGACAATCCCACATTAAACAAACATTAGTTCTCTCTCCAGAGCCAGACTCAGCCAAATTACATTGTTTCCAGATGCCCATCACAAGCCCACCCTCTCTCTCTTCAAACCTGCCCTCATCTCCTCTCCTCCTGCTGCTGCTTTACTTCTCCTCTCTCTATTGTTCTTATTTTCTCCTCATGTTCTGCTCCTCTTTATCTCTCCCTATAGTTCCCTAAACCTCCCAAGTTAAGATGTGAGTTTGTGAATAACAGCCGAGCAGCCTGCTTTCAATTACACCGCCACATCCAAGACATCTGAAGAGGGAAAGGAGGGCCAGAGATGGAGAAAACAACTTGTTTTAGATGTCACATCTCTATACTGATGATGGACAGTAGACAGTGTCTGAGGTCATTATAACTGGCCAGATAGGGAAAGCCATGCATAAGGTTTTAGTTAGCTTATTGGTGAAATAAATGCTCAGCTATTGTTTAGCTTGTAGATGACACTATCAACCATAACTTCAATAAGCTTCCTTTCCTACTTCAGTTGTAACAGTTACATAGCTGTTTATTTTTGATCTCCAATCTCATTCTTTCGTTGATCTAAACAAATTAGTCAGCTATTTGCTTCAACAAATGCAACAACAGTCCAAGTCTTTAACAGCGTATATATACACAAATTGCACAGCATGAACATCCTGACACAGTATCTGCAGAAATAATACCGTGTTAAAGAATCAACAGAACTGACCCTGCAGTTTATTTAAGTCCTTTATGAAAGGATCTCATCAGAAAGGGATATTACTATGTATGATAAAGAAAGCTATCTTAATATGTCATGTTGGGTTCTGGAGATAAAAATAATAAAACATTCTTAGTAGCAGCCCTTTTGATAAGGGTTACATTTGAAACCCTCTTAATATGCCATACTTTCATTCTTCGCAGTGGCATTTTAAGGTTAATGCTAATTTTAGCATCCTTACACCCACACATAGACAATGCTAACATGTTGAGCAGGTTCACCATCTTAGTTTAGTCTGTTAGTGAAGTGGGTAAATATGTGCAGAAGCTCAGAAGACAAACAATACAATATGTTCTTTATATTCATGAGATGTCAATACAGCTGAAAGGTGACTTTAGCTGTAAACAGTATTCTATGGGAACCAATGTCACATTAAGTTAGTATAGTCTAAGCTCAAAGATAACAGCGGTATCAGGAAAATGGACCAGTTCTTTCTTAATAGGCTATGACCCAGACAGGATGTCAGACACTGTTCTTGGAAAAGAAAAACCTTATTGTAAAATTCCCATGAAATAATCCCACTGAAAATGTGACACATGCCATTGAGCAACACACTTGAAGTCTACCAAAAGCAGCAACACTGTGTAGTCTGACCTCTCGGTGTGTGTGCGTGCATTTGTCTCATTTGTTGTCACTATTATTAAATTCACTCTTGAGTGCACTCTCCTATGGAAACAACTGGCTGGACGGATATATTTAACAGAGAAGATATAATCAAGGCAAACCTAACTCTCTTTATGTCATTCTTTTACATTTGTTGTCATATGTTGTGGACAGTTATGCATGTGTGTATGAATAAAACAGAGCATTAAAAGAAGCCCTGAAGGGAGGACGCATCAAAACAAAGCTGAATAATTGCATTTTATATGTTTTTATGGGTGTGTGTGTGTATGTTTGAATTTGTTTGTGCATTGATGTCTGGTTGTAAGGGGGGCTCATCAGACAGCAGCTACATGGTTGAAGAAGCACTCAAATACACTCACGTTTCCACAAGACCTAGGGGCATCTATGGGGACCTCCTAATACATCTCCAAACCCCAAACACACACACACACACTAACACAAATATGTTTACGCACACACACACTTATCTCGGACCGAGCTAATCTAATGAGACAGCCAGACTGCGACGTGTACAGACAAACCTGAAGGCAGACGTGCCTGAACACAAACACAGACAGTTATAGAGTCAATAATAAACAGAGGGTACCCAGTGGTCAGGTGTGTTGTCCAAACAAGATCCATTGATCACGACTGCATTGGGACAACATCAGTTTGAATGTATATTAGTTAAAGCCAACCTCTTATTTACTAATGTGGTGCTGTAAAGATTTCAATTGTTCTGTTTCAATATTAGTGTGTTGCCAAACAACAGCTGAGAAAATCAATATGACTTTCACATCTGTATTCTAAATATGTAGCTTCAGCCAGCAGCTGGTTAGTTCAGCTTCAAATTAGACTGAAATCTTCCGACCAGCACCTCTAAAGCTTTCTAATTAAAATGATGTTTTAATGATCTTTAATTTAAACTAAAAATATAAATAGTCCCCTTCATAAGCATTAGGCTTGCCGTCTCGATCTTCTTTTCCAATTAGCAAGAAGGCGAATAAGTAGAAACGTGTTAAAACTTGTATTAATTATTCAAGACAAGATTTCAATCTGTTATCATTGATTGGAAAGAAAATTAAAATAAAATTAAAAAAACAAATTACTTTATAAACCTTTTTAAGTCTTAAGACCAAATGTTTAAAATGCTTGACAATAAAACAAGTCATAATTTAATCAATTTGTCAATAACCGTTACATTTATCGCATCCTCTTGTTATTTAGCCATTTAAGATTAATGGCTGTCTTGTTCCATCTCAACTATTCATATCTTTTAGTTTTATTTTAACTTCTTTTTATTTTAATCTATTGTCAGCATATATTTTGTTACCTATAAATTATTAGATATCTTGTATAATCCCTCTTAAAAGCTTTGTATGTTATTGGGAGTATATTAAAACTCACATTGATCTATTCATCCTGCATTGTTAAAGCCAAGGCACATTGAAATAGTGTTGATAGCAACTTGATATATCTATGTATTCTTTTATTTCATTATCTATTTGTGTGTGTGTGTTACTCACATAGTCGGGCAAGGCAGTGTCGTCGCCCTGTCTGCCTCTCAGAGACTGCGTCGCCTGCTCCAAGACCTTGTTGTGCTTCTTTGAAAGCAGCGCAAACAAACTGCAGGAGACACAGAGAGGGAACACATGAGTGAGAGCAGCATCGACAGATGAATAATACACTTCACCAAAAGAAACCAAATACAGTCGTCACACCGCACCATGTCATTAATGTGCTGTAAATACTCCAACAGTGACCTTTACTTAGCTTAACTGAGGAGAGAAGCCTTTATTAAAAACAGATTATTATTATTAGAGACCAGCCTGTTTTGCTTTATAAATGAGGCCATTCAAATACTGAATAATGATTTATTGTGAAATGACAAAAAATAATCATGAAAAAGGCAGGAGAGATTTTCAAAAATGATGTCTCCAATTACTAAACATCTTGTTTGATTTACCATCAGCTTACAATCAGAACTAGTTTTTTAATAACTCGGCTATATTAAGGCCTGCGTAGGTCACAGCCTTGTTTACTCCGTTGAAAATTGCCCGTCTTTTTTTCATGTACGTGTGTGTGGATGTTCTGCCCTTTGACCCACAAGATAACTGACTTGCTTTAACCTTATTGTGTGTGTATGGTTGTCTGCATGGGACTGCATGATTGGATGTGATTGCTGTACACATAGACAAGAGTACATCAAGACTATGTATGTTATTTATGCTTGGGTAGCAATGAGGTGGGTAATACAAACACGCATGTACCCAAAATAATACAAGAAAACAATATGATTTGTCTAAAAATACATTTTATCTTGTTGACTTATTTATTACATCTTATTTAATCCAATACTGAGTCTTGCTTGTCAGAGTCTCCTATCGTATTCATTGCAGTGTTTATCATAATTATTAGTGACCTTCTGTTTTAATTACAACTTTTTAATAGTCTTTCCAGGCCCCCGAGGCTGTCGAATGTTTAATTTGTGTGTCAATTAAGGAAAAAAAATTGCAGAATAGATGAAATTCAATGACAGCAAAGGGCTAGGGAAATTCAGATGCAGAGCTTAGCTAAGCCCCATAAAGCTACACCTGTCCATCTGTCAGCACGCACACACACACACACACACACACACACACACACACACACACACACACACACACACACACACACACACACACACACACACACACACACACACACACACACACACACACACACACACACACACACACACACACACACACACCACACAAACACACACACACACACACACACACACACACACACACACACACACACACACACACACACACACACACACACACACACACACACACACACACACACACACACACACACACACACACACACACACACACACACACACACACACACACACACACACACACACACACACACACACACACACACACAAAAAATCCATCAGCATTCTTTCTGCAGGCTAATTGGCTGAATGATAGCTGAATGGCGATATCTGAGCAGCTATGAGGAGGTCTACTTGTTATCTACAGACCTAATGTCAAAGGTCCTATTAGCCATGACTACTTAATGGGACCTGTTGTATTATCTAGTCAGTTTTTCTTATTCTAAATGAGACCACCGAGGAAGTTCCACCTGGGACATTTGCCCACAATTACATCCCTCATTTTTGGAGAGGCAGTGACGGACACGGCCCGGGGATCAGCGACACAGAAAGTCTTCAACACTGCTGGCCTGATCCCAAAATCAGTTATGAGCCTGCAGTAATGACAGACATGGTCTCCACTGACACACTGGAGATGTACAGGTGCTCTGTCTTTACCAGTTCAAAGGATTACCCTCATCCGGACCCACACAGTGGGTGGTTACGATCTGACTACATGCATGTTCTCACATTTATTTGAAGGCATGAGCGACTGCAAATCATTTATTTTATTAACAAATTGGGAAAAAAAATGTCTTCTAGACTGTTGGTCAGATCATAAAAGCTATTTTAAAGATGTCACACTGGGCTCTGGAAACTTATTCTAAAAATATTTTAGAATAATACAATTAATAAAATATCTGATGGGTTTATTGGACACATCTGTGGTGACAGAGGAGACTGTGGATACTGAGGACAGAGGAGCAATGCAGCACAAAGGGAATATTGGTGCCGAGAGAGAATATATTGTAAATAATAAGGAAAGATGCACACTGGTGGTGGAGGCAATTCAAACCCACTGTTTGCCTCTAAATAAACAACACCAACTGTGATTCTCTCCGAGAGTCTATTATGGAGCAGAGTTCAGCACTGCCTGGCAGACATTTGGAAATTCCTGGCAGGAAATTCCCCTTTATCAAGCCATCCAGTTTAGCCCAGCCCTGGCCATCATACTCATTATCATTATTATTATCATCAGACATGGAGTCAGTTGCTCTACATCACCACAGGATAGACATGTTCACATTCACAGACAGAGTTCTTCTCTGACTCAAAACACCAGAGAGTCACAGATATGGAGAGAGACACTGGCAGCGAGATAAGAGGATCCTTGAGTGTGTGTGAATGTGTGCACGTCTTCAAGAAGGAAACATTCCTTCCTGTGCGTCTGGAGTTCACAAACACTCACGAATGACTTGATGTGTGCAGTTTGGACCAATTCCATAAAGTCATTCACTTCCTCACATCCCAAATCCTTCCCCTCAGTTACCTTGTGTTACATAATGTTGGACCTCTTATCTTTCTTTCTTACAGTGCAGACGCTTTTCTGCTTGCTCCTGCCTCTGCTTACTTTTTATGCTGATTTTCCTATTCTTATTCTCTGAAAACTTCGAGCAGCAGCTCCTGGACATTAACTTATCACTGGGACAGTTCATCTTCGTCAATAGACGGAGGGTTTCAGCCATATTTCAACATTTTTACGACGACCTCAGTCTTACAGTAGCGTGGCCTAGCAACAGCTAAAGCCTGGTAGGCTACTGCATGCTATTTAGCTTAAGCTAGTTGGTAGCAAAACGCCTCCGTTCTCTACAGATGACTTCCATAAACTTATACAGAAGATAGCTGTGTTGGAAATGAAAATGCAACGGCTGGAAGTTAACGTGGAAGTGAATGGACTATGTCATGGGAAGGACACCACTTTACCAGTGTTGCAAAATAATAGAGAAGGGTATGCTAACTCACAGCTAGTTAGCAGCTACAAGGATTCCAAGGAACAGGAGGGCTGTGTACCGGGTAATAAATCTACAAGTGGTAGTCCTCCCTGGAACTCTCTGGGTGCAAAGCCTAAGAGTAAATCATTTCCATGGGATTTGGGAGGACGGATAACAGGCAGAGCCAAGCGCTCTCAAATCTGTGATGCGACCGGCTGGCCTGCATTGTTATCACCCAGGAAGAGCGCCTCTTCAACCCCTATTCATACTAGGAAACAGCAGTGGACAGCTGCTAAAGGGAGAACTACAAAAAATCCTCCTAAACCACCAAGTGTGCCAATCCAGAACAGATACGCTCCGCTGACCGAGAACCGGAGATCTGATGACCTGGATAACCTGTCCTCTTCACACAGCAGGGTAAGGACCAATAGCTACTCCAAAAGTAAAAGGCTAGAGGGAAAGCTAACGACTGGGCCTGAAACTCTGCTGTAAGAGATGTAAAAGGTCTGTGTAATAAGAACAACACCAAAGTACTCTGTTTTCCCAAGGATGTGGTCTCTGACTTGGCTGAGAAGATCCTGCATATTGGGGCTGAACATCCGACTGTGAAGAATGTGGTACTGCACATTGGAACAAATGATGTTGTGAAACAACAGTCAGAAGTGCTGAAAGAAGACTTTAAATGTTTGTTGGAAACTGCCAGCTCTCAAAATGCAGAGGTGTTCATCAGTGGCCCTCTACCGCCAGTCAGAAGAGGAGTGGAGAGATTCAGCAGATTGTTTGCACTGAATACCTGGCTTTCAACGGCCTGTACTGACCATTCTGTTCATTTTATTGACAATTTTAACTTTTTCTGGGACCGCAGACATCTCTTCAAGGCAAATGGAGTTTGCTTGAACAAGTCAGGAGTGAAATTGTTTATCTCCAACATATTCAACTGCCTGCATTATCAATCTGTTCCCTCTGCCAAGGACAAGCGGCAAGAGGAATCAAAACAGGAGAAAGACACAACACATCGCTCAGAAAACCCTGAAGAATTATCACTGCACCCGCCTGAGGAATGTTCTGATTATGGGAGACACATGGAGGAATCTCCACTGCCCGTCACACACCACCCCCCCCCTGTCAACGCCTTTGAGGATACTCCGTTCACCCTTTCACCCTCGCCCACCCTCCTGGGGATCGTTGAACACATGAAGGAGATACAGAGGGTTGGCACCGATTCCTTCCTGGAGTTCAAAGACCAAACTAAGGCGATACAACGCTCCTCAACGACGCCCACCAAAATCACCGCAGAGACGCGCACCATCTCCCCCGTCTTCATCACCGTGCCTACGTCAACCACCTCCCCCCCCCTGGCAGCATGTCCTCTACCCCCGCACCATCTCCCACGTCTCCATCACCGTGCCTGCGTCGGCCGCCTCCCCTCCCTTCGAGAGGGCATCTGCAGTCTCCGAAGCCTGATAAGGATGTGTGTGTACTAAATGCTGCAAACTGATATTTGCTGGGTCCAGGCTCAAGGGCGTATGGCACTCTCAACTCTTTCCAGGACATGTCGGGGCCCTGCCTGCCTATCGCTTTGCCGAGATCTGTGTTGATAGGTAATAGATTAAGAGCGGTGAATCATAGAAACAGGAAGCGCTCAAACGTTTGTGTGAGTTTATCTAATTTAGCAGTGATTCCATGTCAGCCACAGCTTGTTACAAAAAACATGACTGATAGTGTGTTTAACAAACTTAAACTAGCTTTATTAAATGTCAGGTCTTTGGCAGGAAAAACATTTTTAATCAATGATTTTATCACTGAGCACAATCTCGATTTTATGTTTTTAACAGAAACTTGGATTGAACAAAATAACAGTGCAGCTGTTCTTATCGAATCAACCCCTCCCAACTTTAGTTTTATGAGTCAGGAAAGAATGCATAAGAAAGGGGGTGGAGTTGCTATTCTGTTCAATGATTCCCTTCAATGCAGGAAGACATCGTATGGGAACTTTGTTTCTTTTGAATATGTGGCCCTTCAGCTGAAATGCTCCTCTCGAGCTCTGTTCCTAAATATATATCGACCACCCAAATACTGTGCAAGCTTTTTTGATGACTTTACTGAACTGCTGTCTATAGTGTGTATTGACTTTGACCGTTTAGTCATTGTTGGTGATTTTAACATCCATGTTGACAACCCCCAGGACAGAGGGGCTAAAGAACTGTTTTGTGTTCTTGATAGCTATGGACTGACTCAGCATGTGACTGACCACGCACAAGAAGGGGCACACTCTGGACTTAATTATCTCAAAGGGTCTGAATATCTCTAAGGTTGTGGTGACTGATGTTGCACTCTCTGACCATTCCTGTGTTTTCTTTGAGAGCTCTATTTCTATTCACAAAAATGTTCAAAAAGAGGTAACCACAAAGCGATATTTAACTAAAAATACTAGGGAAATGTTTACTCAGAATTTTTCTTCCACACTTGCCCCTGCTAACATCTCAGTAAATGAGCTAGTAGATCATTTTAATTAAAAAATTAAAAATGTTATAGATGCCATTGCTCCAACTGAGGTAAAGGAAGTGTCTGGCAAGAAAATATCTCCATGGAGAAAGGCCATGAGCGTGAAAACAGAAAAAAGAGAATGTCGAAAAGCTGAACGCAGGTGGCGAAAAACAAATCTCCAGGTTCACTTTGAAATCTATAAAGAGAGACTTGGCCTTTATAATTTGGAATTGAAAAACGCACGACAATCGTTCTTCTCTGACATCATTACCAAAAACAAAAACAACGCACGTGCCTTGTTTGCTACCGTCGACAGACTAACTAACCTCCCAGTGTCAGTAGCCTCTGAATTTCTATCCACCAGGGCGTGCAATGATTTTGCCTCCTTCTTCACTGACAAAATTCAGAAAATCAGACAAGCAGTCAGTGCCTCTGCATCAGGAACAGCAAATGTGTTGTCTCTGTGTCCACTTAACATCAATTCAAACACCATGACACAATTCCATCAGATTAATGATAAAAACCTAGAGGACATTATACAACTTCTGAAATCCTCCTCCTGCTGCCTTGATATTATTCCAACAGGATTTTTTAAAGATGTATTTCCTTGCATGGCCTCAGATCTACTTCATGTAGTAAACAAATGTCTTCACTCAGGTATTTTTCCACAGGCCCTGAAAACTGCAGTCATTAAACCGCTCTTAAAAAAGAATAATCTAGATGCTTCAGTAATGAACAATTACAGGCCCATATCAAACCTCCCATTTCTAGGTAAAATCATTGAAAAAGTTGTTTTTCAACAGTTGAGTAACTTCTTGCATTTAAATAACTGTTTCGATGTGTTCCAGTCAGGCTTTTGTCCAAACCACAGCACTGAGACTGCTCTTGTAAAGGTCTTTAATGACATCCACTTAAACACAGACAGTGGCAGAACTTCAGTGTTAGTATTATTAGATCTCAGTGCTGCGTTTGACACTGTTGACCACAGCATATTACTAGACCGACTGGAAAACTGGGTGGGACTTTCGGAAACAGTTCTAAATTGGTTTGAATCCTACTTAAAGGACAGAAACAACTTTGTTTCTATAGGTAAATACACATCTGAGTTGACAAATATGACATGTGGGGTTCCTCAAGGCTCCATCTTGGGGCCTCTTCTCTTTAACATCTACATGCCTGGTTCAGATAATGAAAAACAACAAAATAAGTTACCATAGCTATGCAGATGACACACAAATTTACGTAACAATTTCACCAGGAGACTATGCTCCAATTCAAACACTGAGTAAGTGCATTGAACAAATCAATGACTGGATGTGTCAGAACTTTCTCCAATTAAACAAAGATAAAACTGAGGTAATGGTTTTTGGAGCCAAGTCAGAACGTATAAAAGTTAGCGCTGAGCTTCAGTCTGCAATGTTCAAAACAACAGATAAAGCCAGAAATCTAGGTGTAGTCATGGACTCTGACCTGAGTTTCAACAGTCACATTAAAACAGTTACTAAATCAGCCTACTATCACCTAAAGAATATATCTAGGATTAAAAGACTAATGTCACAGCAGGATTTGGAAAAACTTGTCCATGCTTTTATCTTCAGTAGACTCGACTACTGCAATGGTGTCTTCACAGGTCTCACTAAAAAATCTATTAGGAAGCTGCAGCTGATTCAGAACGCCGCTGCTCGAGTCCTCACTAACACTAAGAAAGTGGATCACATCACTCCTGTTCTGAAGTCTTTACACTGGCTTCCTGTGTGTCAAAGAATAGATTTCAAAATACTGCTGCTGGTTTATAAAGCACTGAATGGTTTAGGCCCAAAATACATTTCTGACCTCCTGCTAAATTATGAACCATCCAGATATCTCAGGTCTTCAGGGACTGGTCAGCTTTCTGTCCCCAGAGTCAGAACTAAACATAGTAAAGCAGCGTTCAGTTATTATGCTCCAAATCTCTGGAACAAACTCCCAGAAACCTGCAGGTCCGCTGCAACTCTGACTACTTTTAAATCCAGGCTGAAGACTTTTCTTTTTGTCGCTGCTTTTAATTGAACTATTCATATCTTAGACTGCAATGTAACTTTGATCCATGTACTTTTTCTTTTAATGTTTAATTAAACTATTCATATCTTAGACTGCACTGTAACTTTTATCCATGTATTTTTTCTTTTAATGTTTATTTTATTAGCTTTTCTTTTTAATGACTGATTTTAAATGCCTTTTTCTTAATGTCTTTCATTTTTTGTAAAGCACTTTGAATTGCCTTGTGTTGAAAAGGGCTATATAAATAAACTTGCCTTGCCTTGTTATGTTATGTTACTCTCTACACAAGCACAAGCACACACCCCCCACCCACCCCCCCCCCCCCCCACCTCCCCCCCCTCTCAATATTTCATCTCTTATCTTCTTCTGCGGCAGCCACTGTCAAGTTACTATAACGGTCATTACAATGAATGAGTGTGCTGTGCTTGCATTTAAATATAAACTTCCATCCGTGTCTTGGGACAATTTATTTTTATATTTAAGTATCTTTGCTCACACAGATAAAGATTGTGTCAGGTCCTACTTGCTTGTTAGGTGTGGTATACACTACGTATGCTGCTGATTTCAGTACATAAAACTACAAAATGTCAGAAAGGAAGTTCACTCCAGTGCTACAGCTCTTTTCTAGGAAGACTTTAACCATATTCATGCTCCGAGGAAGGCCTCTGGCCATAACACATTCACGTCTTTAATGGTATGCCAACTCTTCCACTTGATTATCGGATTCATATATTTAAGTACCCAGTTTCTCTTTTTTATTCAAGTTCTCAGCCATAAAGGAAGCGCATTCAGCACAGTTTAGAGTTAGTAGAGGTCGGAGATGTGGCAATGATATGAGACAATTTTCTCTACAGTCAGCAACTTTGCCATACCATTTATACTGTGGTAGTCATTTTTTATCATCCCTAGGTGTATTAAACCATTGAAACGTTCAAGTGAAAGAGCAAGACTGTTTAAAAGGGAATATTGGATCCTTGTGACTAAGTGACTGAGGGACTATAATGTGACATTTAAACCACTAAATAAACCGAAGAAATGCAGCTCTGGTTATTTTATACGTTAACAGTTCCTTCATTTATCATGTTTAAATATGCATAGATATTGTGATATAAATTATATTACTTTATGCACATCGCCCACACTTAGTTGGAGGATATAAAGACTCTCAAATGAAAAGGTCAAGATTCAGACTCAGTAATTAAACAACTTTACTTTTTGTTTCAAACCAGAAAACAATAGGTCAATTATAAAATGGAAGAAAAGAATTAGAAAAGCTAGAAATAAACATATTATATCATCATCTGTCCCACTCATTGTACAGTATGTCCTCACCTGATTATGCGCTGGGCAGCATACTGGTGGAGACAACGAAACTGGGCTGACATGTTGGCAAGGGCAGCGAGACAGTTGGTGTGGAGGTACTTATCCTGCGGAGGATGCACAAACATACATAAACATGTTAATAATGTTACTGCAAAGCAACAAATTACTCTGTAGTATCAATCTTTAGAGTTTCATGGTAACAAAAGCCATATGGAGGATGTGGATGTGAATAATTACAGTTTGAATAATTACCATTTGGTTTCTGAATGCACTGCTGTTTGGAAACTGTGTGAATTAATCCGTATTAAACTTACCCTTGTGCGGGTCATGTTGAACTGGATGGTGCGGATGACCACCAAAATGAGCAAACTGCCAAGTGAGATCTCTGTCAATGTTCTCTCCGTGTACCATGTGATGTTCTTCAATTCCTGTGAGAGGTAGACACAAAGAAATGAGACATGACTTTTGAATCCATCAGGAATTATTTACAATTTTCCCTGCCATTGCAAGTAAAGAAAGGTTTCAGTGACATTGCATGGAATGTACACAACGTGTATTCAGTTGTGTCTACCCACCACTTCATGGACAGAGCGATTGAAGGCGTCGTCCTCGGTGAGGATGAGGAGGATAATGAGGGCCATGTAGACATGATGAGAATTTCTGTTTTCCACGTGGTAAAGGATCTCGAGGATGGGCAACACCTGAGAGGAAGATGGGAGAGCAGAAGGAAGAGCTGAGCATGTGTAGGTGTAGTCGCAGGAAAAACATTCATTATATCCTTGTTACAAGATTCCACAAGCAAACAGCCTGAAGGGACACAAATATAAATATTAATCCTGGAACAAGAAACAACTAAAAAAGGTGAATTAATTTTCTACAAAGCAAAGGTATGCACAATTAAAAAAGGTATTCGTTGTGTTTTTCTTTTCAGTGAAAGGGAGCTTTTGTTGTCTAGCCTGGGGGCTTTGTTCAAGTTGAATCCATCAACAAGTCAAATACAATTATATTTTTACTAGGGCTGCACAATATATGTTTTTGTTTTATATCGACATTGTCATGCAATGTAATTTTGCACGATATTGCATTCAGGGATCATTTTAGTTAGTTGAAAGAGGATAACAGTAGAAAATTGCACTTTACCATGTGGCTATTTTTCTTTCAGTTATTGGAGGCTTTTGTATTCTTTCTATGGCAAGTAATTTTGTTTCATTTGTTCTTCAATTCAACAAGCATTTGTTGTATTATTTAAAGTGTGTTACTATAGAAGTGCTAGTATCAAGTAAAAATCTAGAGTCCTGTATACAAGCATATTACAAATGTCAAGTAAAAAGTAGAAAAACAGCAAATATACAAATACAGAAATATAGACATGATGTCAGAATAAAGGAGGGAGATAAAAAACAGTAAAAGCAGCACTGCAGATGCCCATTGACAAGATATTTACATTATTTACTAATTCATGGCTGCTTCACTATAGGCAGAGGCAGATTGTATATTTAGATATGCAGAACAGATGGTAAAAGTGATCCGCTAACGTCAACAGTGGCAAAAGATTGTCTACTCAGACTCATATTGTCAGAGTGAAAGCAGTTAGTAGCTAGCATGCTGAGCGATGAACCCTCACAGATGCAGCGTTAGCTCATTACGCTGCCGTGCTTTGTTATGGCTAGACTCATTATAGCCCCCTACATAATAAACTCAATCTAGACTTGCTAATGGTAACATTTTATAATAGCAGCTATAAATGAGAAATAACACAGAAAGGTCATGCTGATAGACATACATTCATTTAATTGACCTGCGTTCTTTTAGAATATGTCTATTAAAAAGTAATTTGCTGCATGTGTTTGCCGATTGCCATGAAGCTTTTGTTGCAATGCTTAACAGGCTACTTTTTCAACCGCTTTCTAATTAAATCAAATAATTTAGTGTTGCACTGCACGAAAAGCCTCACATGAATGTCTACAATGTTCATACATGATACCATCTGACATGCTGGTCTACAGAATGATTTTCATTGACTAAATGCCTCAGTACATTCACTCGGCTGTAAGGAATAACTGGCACTGTCCCACATGGACCGGATAGCACCAGCTGCCACTGTATACATCCTCCCTGCTTTCCAAGCCATAGCATTTGGTCCAAGATGAAACGATTTCATGGCCATACCCATGTGTGTAGGAAGGACTGCATAATGTGTTTTGTTGAGGATTGCCAAACAACCCAGTGTTCTTTGCTACTGCTATTTTCATAAACTACAACAGAAAATATAATTAGGTTTTAAGGTTAGATATCTGAATGTAGGTTTGTGGTTAACACAAGCCTAAGAGATTTCAATGCGTTTTAGGTTTTACTATGACACAAAATACAAAAGTAAATCCTGTTGTGAATTTTAAGCTTTTACATGGAAAGGATGGCAAAATGAGAATACAGGGTTTGTTGGGAGACGCCATCTTGCCAAAAACAGCCATCTACTCAGTGGTGGTGGTTTAAGTTATCCAACCTTTGTGTAGATAATTTACAGCCTATTGTTAGCTTTTTACTTCTGACGATTTATATAGGCATAATAAAATAATTAAAGCAGTGTTCATTTTTAGACATTATCTTGTTGAACAAAGCATGTTAGTATCATACATTTTTTCTGGCCATAGAGTTTATTTTCTTTAATAATCCCAAATTGAATAGAAATAATCCATTGTCTTTTTATTAAAAGAACCAGGGCTATGTATGTTCTCTTCAAGGTTGGCCTACAAAAACCCGTCATTATTGCAGCGCATTATTATCAAACGGTCTTCATTGCCATTCTACCCACCAGATTGTCCATGTCAGTCCTGGAGAGCATGTACGTCCTCATGTTTGCGTTCTGGTGAAGAAGGGTGTACAGTAGAAGAGTGGCCTGGTCAGAGCGCTGCTGCTCACACAACGCTGTGTACAGACTGTTGAAATTGATCTGGAAGGTGTGAGGTTGCTCAGCAGACATCGAAGACGTGTCTGCATGTGGAAAAGTCAATATTGTCAGGATGATAATGTTATCACATTCGTTCATTAACACCTGGTATATGTAATACACATTAAATACTCAAATAAAAACTAAAGTAAAACCAACAGATTTATACCTTGTGTGTTTCTGAAACATGTGATGGCCTGGCGGTAGGGGTTTGGCCAGTCGGGCCCGTCTGTCAGATTGGCGAGCACCAGCAGTAACAGGAGGCTCTGATTGGACAGTGGTAGGGGGTTGTGTTCCTGGTCTACACCGGCTTTGTTGCCAGCCCCTCCCAATGTGAAGACACTCCATAACCCACCTGAAGACAGACACATAAATGGTGCACCGATAACAAATATATTCCCTATAATAATATAGAGAAAAACATGTTTTTTTTACTCTCCAAATGCTTTTTAGTTATAAATGACTTTAATTTCTGGTGAGTTCATGGATTTTTGCAATTTTGTGTGTTTTTTCCAGTGTGTATTACATTAAAGGCCAGTGTTTCCCCTACCATTGTCTTGGAGGGGCGCTGCATCCCCCCTGAAATTCAAGGTGTTTCAAAAATATATATATCCCAATGCCACCTATATATGGGCTTGTGTCCAACATACATTTAACCTTTTCCACAAAGACACAGTTAGCTGTCTCAGTGGAGTGGTGAGCACAGAAACCAAACTGCATTGGGTGGAGTGGAGCGAAACCTTTGTCTAAATGTTTGGTGATTAGTTTTGACACCCATTTCTCAGCTATCTAGAGACACAGGGGAGGATGCTGATTGGTCTGTAATTGGACATCATTGCCTTATCCCCAGATTAAAAAAATCGGTGTCACCGTGGCCACTTTCCAGGACGACGGAACTTCCCTCGTGCTGATAGATTGATTTACTAGCATACTAATTGGTTTTATTAGACTGTCAATATGTGTCTTTATAAAGTTGGTGTCGAAATCATCTGCATCCCTAGCCTTAGAACCTCTTAACCCTAAGATCATATGTTTTACCTCAACCTCTGTGATTTCCTCCAGGTCAAAAAAGGGGTGTGTATCCACAGTCGGGCTAGGTGAGACCTCAGATGGCGGGAAGAGTTTTGCAATAACAATGATATTATTAATTTAATTCAAGCTGCTTTAAGCACAGAAAAAATGCAATGTTCTTCTTTATCAAACACTGTGTGCTACCCAGGTAGGATTTCTAAGACTTAGAAACGAGAACCAAAGCTCTCTGTGTCAGAACAACAGACTGATGGATGCATCTTGGCAGTCCTCAGTGATGAAGTGCAGTCAGGTTGTGAATGTCCAACTTTTTATAGAAAGCATTTTAGTATTACTTGCAGCTCTTCAGCCTTTAACTGATTTACGCTTCATGAGGAGTCGAATGCAAACGAGCATGTGCAGTCAGACTCATGTAATCAAGGCCAGGCTGTGCACAATGGAGTCACACACCACAGTTTGCAGCACCTGAAATTTGAAACAACATAGACGGCGCCACAGAACAAAGAGAAACTGGAACTACTGGCCAACTGGAGTAGGGTTCATTTTTTCTCTCGTTGGGGAATGAGAGGCAGCTGAATTTCCTGCAGAAGTGCTGGTGCCTTCAGGCGTCACGGGAAGCACGGGAAGCACGAGAAGCATGAACACCGAGAACACAAATGACAGTCTGTGGCTCCTGCACGTCTAGCCACACAGAAAGCACTGACCAACACAGTGGGAGTGCGTGGAACAGGTTCCCATTGACCAAGCTACTGAATTTGAGGTGAAGGCAAGTACATTTGTTGCCATCTAGTGGAGCAGTATGGAACAGCATATCAGTATATCTGAACTTGCACACACTCTTCTTGGTGTGAGAGTAAAGTCATCCTGATCTAACTATGACACACTCAGTGCAATTGGTGACTGAATCAACAGTGTGAGTCAAACAAAAAGACATTTGCTCAAAACATTATAGGGGTGAAATTCCTCACGTACACTCACATACTTATACATTACAATATTAACTCAAGGATATAATGGGAGGTCACATCCCAGTGTCCTCTTTGTGTACAGTTTTGAAAGGAAGCAGACAGAACAAAGGAACAACTTGTGACTGTTTAAAAAGTTTGACTGGTTGTTCATCAATTATGCATGACAAAATACTTGCTCTGCCTCAGAGTTTCCTTTCGTCAACTTGTGACTGTGTTCAATTATTGGTAACATCCGTGGTTTGTACTTTGGTTTGCCTCAAAATGTACAAGATCCTAACAGTCCATCACTGTTTTTTTATTTGAAGTGTGTATGCAACTGTTGCTCAAAGTGGAACAATTTTTTTATTTAAGAAGATAATCAATAATCTGCAGCCACAACAAAAAATAAATCCCTAAATGAGAAATTACATCAGTTGTCAGTCTATCTGCCTTCCTCTCTCCATACACGATACACTATCTTGAAAAAGAGAGGGCCAAGTTATGACGGAGTGCTGTTCATTTCATCTCTGGCACCACAGTGACTAGCCCAGCCGTGTCAGAGAGCCCGGTCTGGCAGCCACATTTCCTGCACTCTCGAACACACACTTACTCTCACACACACATTCACAGTGCTCTACTCTATTTTACCTTAGAGGGTGCTGTTTGTTATCCATCTGGCTCGGCTCGCTCTGCCTGTCTCCCTGCCCACCACATAAACCCAATAATGCTACGCTGCAAAGGCCTGCTCCGGCCCTGGCCAGCCGCCCAGTGGAAAACAAAAAGGAGGAGGCCAACGTGATGAAGAGGAAAGGGAAGGGAAGAGTGAGGAAAAGAGAAGGTCATTCACGGACAAGGAGGCTGGCACGCTTAAATTAGAAAAATCTGGGCTTCAGGACTGGAGGGCAGCAAAGGCATCTTTCTGTGAGACACGCAACTCAACTGCACCCACAAAGTCTTAGTTTAGTGAGCCTGTATCCACAACCTAAGAAATGTATCTTTTCATCTCTAAAAAGCCTTTATGACCTACACATCTCTCCTGGTCTCCATGCAATATCAACTATATAATATTAAATACTTCTTAATAACCATTGAAATAGGCTCAAAAGCAGTCCATAGTTTAGGTCTTTGCAACAGAAGAAAAAGCCTTGGTTTAGGGACAGAAGGCTGTGTGTTGCTTTACATAATGAACTGGACTATTAAACACGACTGATGGCTTACATATTCAAATGAAATATCCTCGCACAATCAAATATCTGCAATGTCTTTCCAAATATTCAGACGCAAGCTGTAAACAATCCCTTCTGGAGACACATATTCCCCCTGACATCCAATTCACCTGAACATAACCCCGCACCAAATCGTGATTCATATCATGGGTATCATCAAAAACACACACACACACACTCCAGTGGGGGCCTTAATGATGCTGCTGTTATTACACTGTTTATTGGGGTACTATAATTACCTTACTGTCCTTAAAAATCGCTAAAGTACTTCATGTGTTCAGTCTGACTAAATTATAACAAACCCTGTTAAGAGTAACATTAATGTTTTTTTCTGTTGCATTATTTTAGCTTTATGCAGCTGCAAAGTGTCACAATACATTATCAATAAAACAAAGGATCACTCTTCTATGCCTGTGTTTATAATACAATGTATAAGAATTGAAGGTAAAGGCTAAATAAAGCAAAAGTCAAACTGAAGCTGATGTGATTGTTTTTCATGTGTTTTGGTCAAGAAAAACCAGCTTCTCGAAATTGTTATCGGTTGATGGAGGCAAATAAAAAGTGAACTGATCATTAAAATCATTAGGAACTTTTATGTGGGAAACATTATTGTGTGCGCTAATTTTTGCACCAATCCTTTGAATATATTTATTGGGATAATTGAAACTCTTTGCTCTAATGGAAAAGTTGGTTTGTTCAGTTGTTGTTGATATTACAGCCATGACCGAAGTAGTGGATCAACAGACTAAAACGTAAATCTAGTATGAATAAAATATAACCGTATATATATATATATATAAATCACCAAAAGTTCTAAGGACACTAGTGCCACATACTCTTGAACACCAACATCTCAGGGGTCTGTGGAGACGCCAGAGGAGTGGGCTGAGGAGGGGAATATGTTCTCAAAGTTAGAGCGGAGAACATACCCTTCAGCGCTAATGTAGATGTGAACGCCTGGTGACCAGAGACAGACAGGATGTGCTCCTTACTTATTTACTTGCATAACACTGAATGAAATATGCCATGAGGGCTTCAGGCCTTGGCAATGCACACATATACACACAAAGTACACCCAGCCCGGTTGGGGAAACATGCGGAACAGTCAATAAACAAACACACTATTCTGATATGCTCACACAAATGAAAATATATGCTCAAAGCACTTTCGCCCAAACCCAGTCCAAAAGCCTTCTAACAAAAACATATGCAACAAATGAAAATGTTCCCCAGACCGAGTGATTTCAAATGATCTGAATCATAATAAGAAGCTTGGGCTAAAGATCTATCTATAAGATCAGCATCATTTCTGTCACGTGAGCTACGCTGAAGATGCCTAACACACATACATGTAAGGATAAAAAGCTGTTTGTGTTTGGGACTGTCACCATCAATAGAGTAGATTGGGATCATAGAAGAGGCAGAGCTACTGTTAGCCTCTTGACGTCAGACCTGGGGATTGCACACAAGATATCATCGTGTGTTTCTGCTTGTAGGCAGACTGATAGCTCAACAAAGTATAATGTGTGCATGTGGAGAAATCAGAAATGTAAATCATTGAACAGTATATAGAAGAGAGGAGAGGAGAAGAGAAGAGAGGAGAGGAGAGGAGAAGAGGAGAAGAGAGGAGAGGAGGAGAGGAGAAGAGAGGAGAAGAGGAGAAGAGAGGAGAAGAGGAGAAGAGAAGAAAGGAGAGGAGAAGAGGAGAACAGGAGAGGAGAGGAGAAGAGGAGAAGAGAAGAGAGGAGAGGAGAAGAGAAGAAAGGAGAGGAGAGGAGAGGAGAAGAGGAGAAGAGAGGAGAAGAGAGGAGTTGCCAGACTGGGTGATAATCCCCCTGCAGACTCTCGTTCAGACTCAGACAGCAGAGTGTGTAAAAGCGAGAGAGGAAGAGACATCCTATCCGCCCACACATTCACATGGCGACGGAAATGAAGCACTGCTTTGCTTTGCCAATGGCCAGTGCTGTATCTGGGGGGGACTTCCAGAGCGTCTATGAATGTGAGGGTGCACGCATGAATGGTTTTACATGCTGCTAACATGACGAAGAAGGATTGCTATAAAAAGCATGAATGCTAAGTAGGTTGTGGTAGTGTTGTCTAGTCCAGTGCACTGTATGTGGGTTTACAGACTTCATAAAAGCATTCATGTCCCTCGTTTAGACTTTCACTGATTTGTAGATGCACAGCTTTAAACACAGGCCTTCTACCAAGACTAACAATATGACATAACTGTAAGGACTAAACCCAAAATGTTCTAATATAATAATTTCCACAATATGTATCATTTATTTTCAGTGGTGGCTTCATAGAATTGGCTTTCACTTGGGTGATCCAACCTTTGCAACAAATCCATTCAAGTTGACGATTATTAATAAAAAGGATAGATTTCCAAAATCCATATCCTTTAAATTTAGGAAATATTGTGCATCAATTCATATTTTTGGGCATTTAACCTTATCATCGTATTTCCTTTCTGCCACACACACAGAGAAGCATGCACCTGTATTAACTAACAGCACCATAAACTACATTTATATAACTACAATTATCAAATCAAGGTTGTTTTTTAAGGCGGTGACATCATTACATATAATGACAGACCTTCAGAGCTTTAATTGAAAATTGCTACAACCCTACAATATTCTAACCATGACTAGAAAACGGATTTTCTCGTGTAAAATTGCTGCAAGTCCCTTTTAACTGGCTGAATATTTGCTCATGCTGAAAAATGAAAGAAATTAAACTAATATGTACTGTTTCTACAGAACAACTTGCCTACACCCATTTTCAACATCCAAATTCAAATGTGTGCTCTGCCCATCCCTGGCCACTGTGTGCATGGCCGAGACAGAGAGACGGAGAATAAAAAACAAGTGTTGTTTCTGAGCTCCGGGCATAAGAGCGCTTGTGTCTTTGTTGATCTGTGCGTGTGTGTATAAGGGAGGCGGCTGCAGACAGACAGGCTCTAGGGGATTACAGAACAGGACAGGGCACCACAACTCATCGGCCCGATCACTGGTCACAGACAGATAGGCTGGGATGAATGCTGATGGCTCACTGATAGGAATCTGCCACCAACAACCGACAAAGAGCATTTATCTGTAGGGGAAACCCGGCCCTATTCTCACACTCAAACAAACATGCATTCAACACACACAGCTGGATACACACACACGCACTCTTTTCATTTTTTGACATATCACTTTCATCCACAGTGCCATGGCTGTCGGCATTGGCTTTCATTTCTCATATTAATCTTATTTACCACGCTTTGGCTCCACGGAAAAAATAAATTAAAATAAACTCAATTCCGTTTCTTCTTAATGTCTGGCACTAATCTCTGAATTTTGACCATCATTCCTGCAATTTCTGATGCCATTTCTACTCACCAGTTTAATTTTGATGTGGGGAATATAGCAACATCACAACAACAAACTGTGAGCAACAAGAGTGACTAAATACACAAATAGATGTTGGGTTCAAGTTAAACCACGTTGTAGATTTGCATACATTACCTATATTACGTATTATCTACAGCAGCGGTTCCCAACCTGTGGGCCACGGCCCCCTAATGGGCCGCGAACGCATTACAAGGGGGCCGCCAAATAATTTGCAAAACATTATGATTAGTGTGGAACAAATTCATTATAAAGACTTTTCCTTTCTCTTTCTTGATCCTCCTTAGCAACGGTCATTACAGTCCTTGAAAGCGGTCTGTACTGCTGGATTAAAAACATGTTCTGAATTGACCAATCAGAACTTTATTTAGCCTCCGTATTGTTTATGGTTGAATGTGGGCATTGAGTTGAAAAAGGTTGGGAACCGCTGACCTACAGTAAAATATAAAAAATGATGTTTTCTCAACCAAACCAAATAATAAAGATTTTCTTTTGCTCCGTTTGTCGTTTCTTTTTGTTTCATTTGTGTGTGGATGTGTGTACACTTACTTGCCACCCCTGAGGCCAGACCATAGAGCAGGCCTCCTTCGGCTTTCTGCTCAAAGATGTGGGTCGCTGGAGGCGGACACTTCTCCTGCCTGATGAAGTTATAGAGCAGGGTCTTCACCAGCCGACTAGTTAAAGACAAACTGGGAGAAAAGAGACACAAACGCAAAGAGAGTTTCACAAAGACAGCTGGGGCTTTCTTCAGAAGAGGTGTAATAAATGAGCTCTTCCAACATTTCAAGAATGATGTGAGTGTCTATAGAATATTATAATAAAAGCCCTGAGGTTATCTAGTACTCTGGCCTTAAAAGCTGTCCCTTACCTGCTCAACAGAAACATCAATTACATCTGACTGCACTCGACTGAATACAGAATATGAACACGGGCATAACCATTTAAATTATTCCTTTTATCAGAGCTGGCGGGGGAAAAAAAATTCAGCTCATTTGCCAAGTCGGCCTCATTATCTGCCACTAATAGGAGTAGGTGTCGACCCTTTCTTAGTGTAATAAAAACCAAGGAACCAGACATAGGACTTGTTCTAGTACATGCAGGTGTGTGTGTGTGTGTGTGTGTGTGTGTGTGTGTGTGTGTGTGTGTGTGTGTGTGTGTGTGTGGTCCATATTATGTGTCAATGTGAGTATCTGTATACCAAATATCACAGTTTTTCCAGCAACACAGCACATTGTTTCTTAAACGACCAGTGATAAAACCATTTAGATCTGTTTTGCCAACAACAGCTACGTCAAAGCATTTCTCCATCTCATTCGCAGTTAATCCAAAGTGCTCTCATTTGGGTGTTATGCTGCAAGAGCCCTAAAAGAAAATGACTTCCATCCTCTGTCGACCCATCTTAACAGAACTACTAGACTTCAAAATGCATTCAGGCTTGCAGCATTTCTATTTCAAGATTATAATTAACAAAGGATTTAAAGCATTTAAAAGTAGCTCAACATCAGACTGTATTAGCATTATGCGAGTTATACTACATCCACACTCTAATTTTCCCACGCTGAAGATTTAGCTTATCAACATTTTTAAAACGAGTCACTGGATTACATTCTTTCAGAATCACAGAAGATTAAGTCACAGTGATAAGATAAGAAGATAAAGTTCTATTAGATTCATTTCTGTTTCCCCCCCTTAGTATCACTTAATGACACATGAAGACATTGTTTGGAACATGATGAGAAGTATCAGAGTGTGGATATATAAACAGCAGCCTATATCAGGCAGTGTCACTTTGGATTGGAGAAGGTCCAAAATGATCTGGGCCTGCAGATTGTGGATGACCCAGTTACAGAGGTAAGTGAGAGCACCTCGTAATGCAGTCACATTTTCCTTTATTGGTTTGTTTTCCAATTGTGCTTTCATTTAAGCAAACTTGGTATTGGTGCTCAGTTAAATGTCAGTATCTTGTCATGTGTGCTTTTTCCTCACCATCGTCCTTTCATGATGTGCTGATAGATTAATCCATCTCGGAGGATGTCTTTGTTGAAGAGTTGGTAGGAGAAGAACACCAGCAGTGTGGTCACCGCTTCAAACAGGATGCTGTAGGTGATGTCTCTACAGGAAAAGAAAGACGCAATAAGAGTTCATGCAAATACATTATAATCGCAACTTTAAAGGTTATGAATATATGTGGAAGAAGACAAGGTTTAGATATGTAATTCTTAATGTAAACACATACATTTGTATGTGTATGTGCCTGATATTTAAGCAAAAGCCTTTCAATATATCAAAGACATTCATTACGTTTTAGGAAGCAGGATATTTGCATCTGTGACATGTTGTATAAAATGAGATGCCAATGGAAAGTGGCCCACTGCTGATGACTATCCTTTCATTGAAGTGTGTTTCCTACTTTTAATCATAACGTGCTTCCGTACACCTGAACACAGACAAACATGGCTTTCAAATAATCAACCAGATTTTAAACTTAGGACAATGGTGTTTTTCTTTCATATTTACACAATATTTGCCGATTTCACTCGACTGTGTACGTATGTACAGGGGTCTTCAAAAATCATTTTATTAATATTGAATACTTTTTTTGGTCAATAAAATGTCAAAAAAGCTTATCATACATTTCCAAAAACCCAAGAAAACAACAGCTTGTTTTTCTCCCTCCAACAGTTCAAACTTAAATGATATCTTAAAAAATGTATTTGCCATTTGTGTCAAGGCTTAAATTACGTTACGTCATTACAAATGATAGTTACTGAAATAATATACTAGGTATGTCGCAAAGACACCTAATACAACAGTAAAGACTTCACCCATAGGGCATAGTGTTAATGTAAGGCACCTAAATAATTGATTAGAAAACATTTCAGTTAAAGAATGTGTGGGAAAACAATAGGGGATTAACTGTGATGTATAGGTCAGAATCAATCTTTCTTGTAAAATGAAGACATAAAAGATCAAGTGCAGAATTCTGTCAAAGATTTGGGGAAAATATATTTCCATCCAAACCAGAAGCACGTACAGAGGAAACAGGCCAACAGCCACAAAGTGGTGGAGGAAAGAAAAACAGGTGGAAGTTTTGAAGCTTAGACAATGAATCTTGTAGGAATGCTGAATGGATTTACACGAGAGCTTGAAGTCCAGACACAAAAGAAGAGACGGGAGACAGAGAGTAGATTGGTTGACAAAGACAGGAGGATCAAAACTGACACAATACAGACACGGGTACAGGGAGGAAAAGTTTAAGATGAGTGGAGGAAAATGCCATCGTCAGTCATGTTAGTGTGAACTTGTTTTGACTCTGCAGAGGAGGATTTGAGACGTGCGCAGTGTCTCTTTGCCTCTGTGCGACAGACGGAGTGGCAGGCAGGGGATAATTCCTGCATTGATGAGTAAACACACTGAAATATTCCCTCATTAAAGCAGAGAGTGTTAGCGTGCACACCGCCCACGGGGAGTAAAGGATGATACCATTTTTCAATCATTATGTTCCCTCCTCTCCCACTCCTTGGCACGGCTCCTAATCCAACTTTCATTTCAAGCCTTTTTCTCTTCTTCCGACACCGCAAACATATTTTAGTCATATCCCTTCCTTTTCATGTTGTCCCTTTACGCGTCACTCCGCCAGCTCAGAGCTCCAGCTCGTCAGTCTGGCTGACGGCTCTGGAAGTGAAACACATGGACATCCGAGCCTAACCTTAATCCATAATGGTCTCCAGTTTCTCTCGGTTAGTGAATGAGCAAGTGGAGCACGCAAAGTGAGTTAAACATACAAACTTTCACAAAGTGTTTCCCATTAACTGCTCAATGACTAACATCCTGGACACATTAATAACCACCGAAAGGCAAACCAAATGACGGTTTGGGCTGGGAAACGGCAAATAAATTGGGTTTTGACATGAACATCTCATGTAGTTCCTGTTTTCTGATAATAAAATGTCAAACAAGTGGGTCTGAAGAATTAGCACTTTGACATTAAATAAATCCCTGTGTGGGATGAGTGAAATGCAACTTTTCAGTGTTTCCGAATCAGTCTTGCATGTGTGACCTTTTTAGTGAATGTAAAACACAATGGGGTGTAATTCAACCACACACACACATACACACACACACACATATACAGGAGATACTTACAGCAGGGGCACTTCTACGATCAGGTGAATGAGGTTGGACAACAGTTCCTCCAGGAGGTCCTCGCTGCCTGTTTCTACACAAGAGGTTGGGGGAGTTATTATATGAGAGAGTAAGGCAGCTTCCTGTTGATCACAGTCTCTTTTAGCTTCTTCCAACTCCAGTTCCACCTTCTCTCCATCCCTCCTATCATCCATATGTCATGCTTGCTGTACAGAGGAATGGCACAGAGGGGAATTAGCCAATTTGGATTACAGGGTTTCCTGCTGGTTTTTGCCAAGTATAATTTAATACTTTTACAGACATTTTTAATATCATGTGGAATGTAATGTAAGAGCCGTTTAACGATCATACCGGCCCAAATATGAAGAGATGATGGAAAACCAGGAGAGATGAAATGGCGTACATTCATTTATTTTGTATAACTTCCCAGCAGTATAGAGCAATAATTCCTAATTATGGAATTAATCAAATGAACACAATTTGGACACAGATAAGCGGCAGGAAATGAATGGATTAACCAAATGAATATGTTTAATAATTTATATTTTTGCATAAAATTCAAACTTGCCCATTATGGAAGTAATGGGCAATTTTAGCTAGCATCAGTGACGGTGCTTGCCTGTGGCTCTGATTAAAGCTCCTCAAAAAACAATTAGCATACAATCAACTGTCTCAACAATTCCCCTTTTTTAAGTGTACACCGTGTTGTGACAGCCAGCAGTCAAACACAAAACATTTTGTAAATGAACATTACTGCCAACAGCGGGAAAGATTATATTTTTAGACTGTTGCAGATTTAATTTACGACCTCCTTGTACCCTAAACTATCTTCTCTTTACCACTTTCAACCAGCTGTAATTAGCTTGGTGTCATTTTGCAGGCAAGTCTCAGAATGATCATTTTACAACAATCACCCAGCACAGCAGATCTAACCCTTAAAGTACTGTGAGAGCAGTCTTTGTGCAAATGTCACAGTTAAAGTGTGTAAGTGTGAGTTGATGGTAGCAGGAATAACAAACCGCAAAATAATGATTCAAAAGGAAGCTGACTTTATTTCTTTCCTTTTAATACTGTTAATGCTTTTAACCAAAAATGGTTACGTAATGAACATTTATCAAGATCATTAACAGGCCACCCATTTGGAGAGTGTTTATGACTTTCCTCAGAAAGGCCTAGTGTTTGATGCCAAAAGAAGATGAGCAGTCAGTGGACGCAGTTTCAGACTTTTATTAAAGAAGTGAGAGATGATCCAGGTCAGTAGCCGGGGGTATTTGTGCTCAATTAAAAAGCCAATTTCTTATCTCTCTCTAGGTTTATAAGGGAAGTGTTACACATTTGACCCTGGTGGCTATATTCTAATAACTCACATCTTATGATCCCACTGAGGGCCAAACTGTTTTAAGATTTTTTAGCAGTAGTTTTTAATAGTTTTTTTGTGTGAAGTACTCTAAAGGGAGTAGAACAATCTCTGAACTGACTTAATGCGTCTGTATACCACACAGCTGCTAGTCACTCCACGTGTACAAAATGAGAGTTGTGACTACAAATCAGTGGTTGAATCCTGCCAAGTTGATTTATTTTGTGGCCTCACTGCACATCTCTCTGTGACGCACCTTATTTTTTGATCAAATGTATCTGTGATGGAGCTCACCTGCACAGGAGCCTGGCGCCCTCTCCTGGTAGGAGAACTGTAGGTGCAGCTCTTCTTCACTCATCTCCCTGATGAACACCTTGAGCAGGCAGCGAATCATGAACAGTGCATTGTGGGCCTGCCAGATAAACAGCTGACTGCGGAAGCACAAAAAAAAAAAAATAGGTTGTCATGTTCAAGGTCAAACATAGAACTGTGATGGAAATAAATGCTAAGAAGGGCTAGCTTTGCGACATTGATATATGTCCTAAATGTATAAAGCTGAATGACCCTGAAGTGTTCTTCGGTAATATGTTCATTCAAATTCAAATGGTTACACACGAGTAGCTCGGAATACTTGAGTTAAATAGTCTGAGATAAAAAGCCCTTGTGTATTTAGCCTTCTGGAACTAGAATCTAAAAGAGCCTCTTCAAATAAATAAAGCATGGGGCTGTCACATTGTAGTTGTCATCTTACACTGAACAAAAATATAAACGCAACACTTTTGTTTTTGCTCCCATTTTTCATGAGATGAACTCAAAGATCTAAAACATTTTCTATATACACAAAATAACCATTTCTCTCAAATATTGTTCACAAATCTGAAAAAATCTGTGATAGTGAGCACTTCTCCTTTGCCGAGATAATCCATCCCAACTCACAGGTGTGGCATATCAAGATGCTGATTAGACAGCATGATTATTGCACAGGTGTGCCTTAGGCTGGCCACAATAAAAGGCCACTCTGAAACGTGCAGTTTTGCTTTATTTGGGGGTCTGGGGGGGGTCCGAAAACCAGTCAGTATCTGGTGTGAGGGGTAGGGGTAGGGTTAGGGTAATGTTGTGAATCGAGTGGCCTGTGTTCGTCGTCCATAACATACGCCTGCCCATACCATAACCCCACCACCACCATGGGCCACTCGATTCACAACATTACCCTAACCCTACCCCTACCCCTCACACCAGATACTGACTGGTTTTCGGACCCCCCCCAGACCCCCAAATAAAGCAAAACTGCACGTTTCAGAGTGGCCTTTTATTGTGGCCAGCCTAAGGCACACCTGTGCAATAATCATGCTGTCTAATCAGCATCTTGATATGCCACACCTGTGAGGTGGGATGGATTATCTCGGCAAAGGAGAAGTGCTCACTATCACAGAGTTTTTCAGATTTGTGAACAATATTTGAGAGAAATGGTTATTTTGTGTATATAGAAAATTGTTTAGATCTTTGAGTTCATCTCATGAAAAATGGGAGCAAAAACAAAAGTGTTGCGTTTATATTTTTGTTCAGTGTACATTGAGCAGAGTTAGGGGAGCATACTTTGAATGAGGGTGATAATGCATGTATTGCTTTTTAGTTCCTATATATTATTTGCATCTCTCTCTGTACTACTAAAAATGCTGCTGATGACCAGTTTTCTCATAACCTTCTTTTTGACAATGAAACTACACAGCATTCACACAGAGACAACATCGGGACAGAGTGGCTGGGAAACAAATAAAGAGGAAAACAAGAAATTATTGGACCCATGCAGTGCAAGCCACAATGTTTCACAACCACTGTGTCTAATCAGTCCCACAAATTGACAATTTGCACAACCCAAGCCTGTTAGAGACAGAACATTTAGGTTTGTTTAGGGAACATCATCTGTTAGGAAATGAGGGGGAAATAAATGGAGAGGACGGGGAGTGATAACTCCAACTTCTAATGATGTTAAATAGAGAACGAGTTTCCTCCCAAACAATTTTGGTGAGTCGGGCAGGGTCAATGTGTGGAAATGGAGCTTGGCAGTGAGAGCATAATGTCACATGTGTTGATGGTTAAACCTCAGCACTTTTCTCACGGGAAGCTTCAACCACTTCAGTGTTTTCTCCCCTGTACGATTCCCTGACTGCCTGCGATCAAACAATGACACATTGTCTGTCATTTCAGGATCCATTATCTTATCTGAGGTTCTCATACTTACTCTTGGCATTCTGTAGAGACTTTCAGCTCTTTGGTTCTTCCCAGGAAAATTCTCACAAGGGCGCCAAAGTTCCCCGATCTAGGATTGTTTTCAACTTGGGGGGGGGGGGGAAGGAGGAGAGGAATTATGAGCAGCGTTACATATGATGCAGAAACTTAATCTGATAGCTTGTCATGCAAACCAGAAGCAGAAACAAATGCTATGATAACTTAAGAGAAGTGGATGTCCATTGTTATCAATGCATTTACCAGTAGAATAAAACAGACATGAAACATATTTCAACCATATAGGAGACATACTGAGGATCTTTGCGAGGGGGATGACAGCCTCTTCCAGTAACTTGGAGTCACCACTGTTAGAAAGGGAAACAAAGGGAAGAGGCAAGTTAGGAAAGATAGGGGAAATATATCTAAAAGATAAGTGAGAGAAATGGATCAGAGGATCTGATTACTCAAACCATCTTCTAGAAACCTACTGTGAAACCAAACAGACACTGATAACATTCAAAAATGTGCGTCTGCATTGACTCAAAACAGACAATGTAAGATGTATTCATGTGAATGTAGTGACATGTAAGGATGTAAAGCACAACCTTTTATCATATTGTTCTGACTAAGTGAATATATTTACTGGTTTATTAGATCAGCTTGATGCATTTGTGGTTTATACAAACTAATGCAATCTATACATTTTGATTAGATTTCACCGTGGAATCTCTTTCCTTTCTGGAAGACATCTCTTGGCGTCATGTCATGCTTGTTGTATGTTTTAAGGGAACAACTTTTTTGGCTGGTCAGAAACGCCCCTTAGGCATTACCGCGGTGAAAAAGTGAGCCAGGACTGACAGGAGCAGCTGGCTCTTATTAAGACATTTAGAGGGATAGACATTTTGGGAATGTGATTATACTAAAAGAGGAAAATAATCTGAATTAGGGCTGCACATTATATCGTTTTTCATTGTCATTGCTGTGTCAACTTCAGCTAACACGTCATGGAAGACTGCAATATTGCACTTTTATTTTTAAGGATGGTTTTCTACTAATACTGTCCTTCAACTTACTCAGAAAATACACATCATTCTTTTTTGGTGCCCTTTATGTTAAGCTTACAAGCAGGGTTTCCCACACATAGACTATACTTGGGCGGGCCGCCCAGGTATATTAAGGGCCGCCCAAGTATATTTCGCGACCCATTTAGTTTTTTGTTTTTTGTTTTTATAAAAAAAAATTTTAATGTTTTTTTTTTTTTATTCGTCCGTGACCACGACGCCATCTGCGATCGATTAACTTGTAGACAATGATCCCTCGCTCCCTTGCTCTGATCTCGCCTCCTTCTGGCCTGTTAAGTGGCCTGCCTCACACAGGGTGACTGGCTGTCCACATGATGTGGCCTGCCGACATGGCCACTGTCATACAGATCATAAATCAAAGCCCTTGATTGGTCTCTGTGTGTCATTCAAGCTCGGGATAACCTCAGCTCAGGTGAGGTAAAGGACTCTCTTGAGTGTTTAGATAGTTAACTTAGTCTAAGTTCTCAGTGGGTCTCAAACGGTGTGGTCACCATTTATGTAAACACATATTTCCATTTGAGAGGGTAGTGATTGGTCTAATGGAGAGTGAGGTGGGCTGAAGATCGGAAGGCTGTGAGTTCAAATCCCGCCAGGAACACCACCACTAGTGTGCCCTTGAGTAAGGCACTTAGCCCTTAGTTACTCCAGGGAGAATGTCCCTGTAATCGGTCATTATAAGTCGCTTTGGATAAAAGCGTCAGCTAAATGAAATGTAATGTGATTAGTAAAATATGCATGAATAAATAAATAAAAAGTTAACTAGGTGAAAAAAGGTAAGATACACTTTTAAAACTTGTTGAGAGAAAACTAGTCTTTGCTGCTGCCTCAAAGAGGAGCAGGGGGAAAGGATGGAGACAGGACAGGAGAGGAGGGAGACAGGAGAGGCTGATTCAGGAGCACAGACACACTCACAACTATAAATGAACCAAAAATAAATTAACAAGTTTCAGTGTTTTTTTCATATTGGAAATGGGATGTTGTTGGTTATGGCCTTGATTTTATGATTATTGAAATGTATACAGTTCTGTTTAATATAGGTGTTTCCATAGATCTAGTCTCTTTATTTTCCCCTCAAAATGCACCAGATTGATGCATTTAACTCCAAAATAAAAAATAAAATCTTACCGGGGGGGGCATGCCCCTGGACCCCCCTAGAGGATTTGAGGTCGACCCCCACTAAAAATCACATGGATAGGTTCCTAAATACATTAATAAATACTTTATTTTTTTAAATAGTAACCCATTTCCATATGTTCATGTGTGGGTAGTAGATTTAAACTATAGGGCTATCATTATGGACCCTGCCTGTACCTGTACCTGTTCGCTCTGCCATCGTGTGAAGGGTCTGCTAACAAGCGACCAACAGAAAGGTTAATGTTGTTGCACGTCACCTCAACCCCCCCCGCTACCACCACCCCCCAAAGTATATTTCAGATCTGTGGGAAACACTGGCAGTTAATGGACCAGCACCAGAGGCATTCCCATACACACAGGCGTTGGAGCTGTTCTTCATGAAATCCCAGAAGGATGAAGTGCTCTGACAAACAGTGCCATCTTTGCGCAAAATGATTATACCGGAATGAAAAGTCAATAAATAATGTTGTTAAAACTTTTTTTTTTTTTTTTTTTTCGCGCACCCCCCCCCCCCCCCCCTCCTTGCCACCACCCGCCCAAGTATATTTCATATCTGTGGGAAACACTGTTACAAGACATTTGTTGTATTTGAGAACTGAGTACATTTTATTATTAGGTATTTCTCACAAGTAATATTGTTTTTTCTCAATAATCAACAACATTATTGTGTATCTTCCTCATATCATGCAGCCCTAATCGGAATATTTCAACTTGGGCTTTTGTTAAACTATTTTCTGACATTTTACAGCTGGAACAATACATCAGAACAGTAATGTGAAAATTAATCGATCATGAAAATATCTGTTATTGCAGTACTAACTTTAACCTAGTGTTCCTGTATTTCGTGTTGCTGTTAGTCAATATATGTTAAATGTGCATCTTTACGTCTTCTATGGAGTTAATAGAAAGAAAAGGATAAATTGTGTGAAACGAAGAGTAGAAAATGGAATAGATCAATATTTAAAATCAGGCAAAAAACAATGGCAAAAGAGAAACTGTAGTGTCTTTACCACTCAACACTATTTCCAAAGAAAACAAATGCTGTTTTATTCTCAGCCAAGCGGGACAATAACCCTGATGAATCATTACCGAGGTGAGCTCTGTAAACATCCTGCCTGCAGTTTAATGTTTGATCCTGGCTGTAAATGTTAAAAATACTTTCTTATTAGGTTGGTTCTGTGCCAACTACTGTTGATGTAGCACACTGTAACTCTTGATTAGAGTTGTAACCGTAAGATATTTGTATACCACGATAACCATCTTAGAGAGATACCATCTGTACAATTCAGGGAAGGTTGCTACTGCCACTTTCCATTTGACCTCCAATGTGTTTCCTGTCCTGGCCTGCCTCTTGTTTTGTGTCTGTTGCCCAATTTCATCTAGGGGCTGCAACTAAAAATTATTCTCACTATCAATATATTTGTTTCAGTTAAAATAATAAAAATATTAGTTAAGTTATTTGAAAATGCTGATAATTCTGTGTCTGATGATTGAGTCCATTGTGCTTTTGACAGGATGACCTTGTGATCAAATGAACCAAAGGAATACATGTAAATAATGTACAACTAAGCAGTGAAAAACACTAAAAGAACTAAGTTATTGACACTGAGGAGTTTATAGCATATTTAATGTCATAATCATGATGAGATGCGACTGAAAACCATGGGAAAAGCTAGTAAGTGGACCTTATCATAGCTCTATTATGAGGTATTCACTTACAAGATTCAAGATTCAAGGCTTTATTGCCATATGCACAGTAGCTACAGTGTAGATATGGCAAGGAAACACTTAAGTCACAGGCTCCTCCAACAGTGCAACATGACGACACCAAAACAAAAAACATGAAGCTGCAACCAGGAAATGTTCAGTATTTGATACATTCCTGAAAAAGACATTTCTGGTTGTGTGTGTGTGTGTGTGTGTGTGTGTGTGTGTGTGTGTGTGTGTGTGTGTGTGTGTGTGTGTGTGTGTGTGTGTGTGTGTGTGTGTGTGTGTGTGTGTGTGTGTGTGTGTGTGTGTGTGTGTTTGTTACCTGCTGGTGGGACTGATGAAGGTGAAGGAGATGAGCTGGTTCCAGAAAGGATCGTTCTCTGATATGGACTCGGTGCCCACCAGGGTCCTGAGGCTGGGGTTGTCGGACAGGTCACTGACCTGGCTGGTGTTGGCTCCCATCGCTCTCTACTGGCTCCACTCAGCCAGACTCACCACTCTTCTTGCTTCTTCACCAGGCATATGCCAATTCCTGGGGTAAAGAAAATACTTTAGTTATTGATGCCATCAAAAATAATGAACAACTTTACTACAGACGAACTATGTATGTCTAAGCCACTGCACAGGATGTTAAGAGTAATACTTAATGTTGAGCCTGCCCTGATATTCAAACAACACATTATCCATCTATGTAAAATCAAGAAAGCAAAATCATCCATCCTCACATTTATTTAAAAGAGAGTCAGGTTCAATACAGGATGCAACATAGGAACCAGGACATGTGTTGTGTGTGATGACACACCTTTAGCACACAGGTGTAGCCAGCGAGAGAACATTTACCCAGTACATTGATAACATTATAAGAACACAATTGTGGTAAACCAAAGAGATGGTACATTTGTACCTAGTAATAGCCATATAACAGGCACAGATCTTAAGACTTACTTCATTGCCACATCTACACTGTATCTACTGTTCACATGACAATAAAGCCTTGAATCTGAGCTGTGCTGAGACAAACATGCTATTTGCTTATGAACTCCTTGTTGTCTAGTACTAGCTAACAGAAAATGGAGACTTTGTCAGATCACCAGCGAGTTTCCAAATGTAGTGTCAGTGTGATATCTCAAGCATCTCCAGTTGCATCTGCTCCTTGAGTTAAGCAACTTCATGACGTTAGCTAGCTCATCCAGTTTCCAGTGCAAGAAATAGTCTTGGCAAATGCGAGTGTATACACGGTGTAGTGACAGTCACACGTCCGATTAACCCATAGCTTGATAAGTTACTGATTCACGAGCATGTCCTGTTAGCTATTGGCGTTTTATTACTCAGTGTCCAGAGAGTAGCTAACATTCATGGCTTGTTTTCCATCAGCTGACCGCTTACCTGTCAGAAATGCTTCTCGTAGTTACCGCGGCTCTCTCTACTCCCAGGACCGTTAAAATGCGACGGTTGCTTCCCCAAATGAAGAGCTTTGTCCAATTTTGATAGTCAAGTGTAATTTCAGTGCGCAAATACTTGAAACTGTGGCTAAATTGCGACAATTAAGTTTACTCTACATACTCCTTTCCACCATGTTTTCCACGTCGTCACCCCTTGCGTAATGACGACATGTTATTACGTAGGTGACGTAACAGATAGAAATAGGGCAAACAGATCTGCCTGATCTAAACTTAGATTTTCTATGTATATTTTACATTACATGTTTGACGCTTTTATCCAAAGCGACTTGCATACTCAATACTGTGGGCAATCCCCACAGGAGCAATTTTGGGTGAAGTGTCTCAGGGACACAACGACATGCTGACTGCAGTGGGGTTTGAACCATATACAGTCTATGGTTTGAACCTGTGCTCCCCTGATCCGAACACCAACGCACTAGTCCACTGCGCCACACGCCTCCCTATGTATATATGTATATATAATATATATATATATTCATTCTAACCCCTTCTGAAGTGTACACTTAACACAGGCTAGTATCTATAATGGCTGAATATAATCAATATGAAGATCCATGCACATTTTAGATGATAAATGTCAGCAAACTTGTATGGGTTCAAAAAATAATCATATTTTAAAAATAATGTCCTTTTTTCCCTTGATTAAGCTCAGTTTGCCTCAACAAAAGTTGAGAACAAATATTACACGCACAGGATGTATTAATGTGTGATGTATGCAGGTGTGTGTGTGTATTCATTTATTTTCTTAGTTTTATCTGACATCTTACAGTTTATGTCTCATGTGATCAAACTGCTTTAATCTTTTTTCTTTCACATATGTGATTAAAGACTTATTGCAGTGATACATTTTAAACTATATATATATATATATATACAAATATTATAATTTTATATAGTTTAAAATACAAAAAATCAAACCGTTATTGACATTAAAATATGAAGTGAAGACACTTCAGGTTCATCTTGGTATAGGATCAATAAATGAGCAACTTCCTTTACCTGAAGGTTTTCTTTTATTTATTCATTAAACTACAAGATCCACTTAGAAAAAAATGTCCATAGAGAGTGAAGAATCAACACAGTACATTTATAAATCAATTCATAATTAACAAGGAAAGAATATCAATTATAACCAATCTCTTAAAGTTACTGTTATACAAATGGAATCAAATACATACAAGATCTGGACAATACGGAAGGTTAAAACCAATTATTGAAAAAAGTATGATAAATAAATGTATAGTTTCTCTATCTTATATTACTGGCATATTTACATTTTTTCAGAAGCATTATAAACATTTAGAGCTGTTAATCTGTCTTCTTATCTGCTGCTATTGTGGATCCGTTGGCAATGGCTTCACCGTTGCTTTCAGGCTGAAATACATGAGAAGCAAAACATTAAAATGATGTTATCCACAACCTTCAATCATAAAAGAGACTCTAAACACCAACAACAGTATCAGTCATGGTTAGGCAAACTAAAAACCAACTTAACCTGACAATTCAATCACTTGAAATGTGATAATAAATGTGAAGAAATAGACTCAGAGTGTCTGGATGAGCTGTATGTAAGTGGTTCTTGTTAGGCAGATTTAGAAACAGATTTTTATTTGACAGATTTTAAAGCAATTATCTGAAATCCCCTGCACATGAACAGGGCATTAACAAATAAATACAATAAATAGATAATACATCTACTGCATTCTACTTATATTCATTGTACACTGTTGATACCTACAGCCAAAACCATAACTTAATTAATAAAAGGAAAAAGGGTTTTATTGATAAAATATCATAATAAAATAATTAATTTACCTTTTGAGTCCCATTACTGTTGTTGGTAACTTGTTGGTCAGTAGTAGCCTTCTCTTGGACTGCTTTTTTGGGCCAGAATTTGTTAATTATGGGTGAAATGAAAGGATAGATGTAAGGCTCCAGGAACCTCTTGTAGACCCACAATAGGACAGGAATCACAATACAGGGGATGCACACCATGACTGCTGCTTTGACAGGACTCCCACAATAAAGAACCTAAAGCAGGGAGAAGACAGAGTTAAAGAAGGGTCAAATATACTATTAAATATAAATAACAACATCAAGAAAAAACATATTAATATTGTGCCTTTATCTCAGTCATTTGTTACGTGTGATGCTAGGTGGCTGCTTGGAGCTGCCTGACTGAAACATTGTATATTTTTCAATATTTTAAGTATAGATTTGTTCCCATATTTTTTTGCAATTTAATGGATAATGTTAAAAAATGTCATGTATTTTGTATTCAGTGACTGACTACATTTTAACATAATTGCACCCATCCTTGGTTTTGTCCAACTTCAAAATGTATATCTTCACTTGTTATTCATGATGCAGTGATGTATCTAAGAGCTGCTGTAATGAGCTGTAGGCAACCAGGACTGTGTTATGGACATATCTTAACAAGGGTGACTAAACACGTAGAATTCAAGTGTCAAGATGCCAAATGTATCCCCTTAAGACTATTCTCCGTATCATCTAATAACAACTTGTATTATGCATTTCTCTGCTAGTTCACAGGGCAGTGAGGTTTGTAAACCAGCGACCTGTCGGTAAAACTGGTGTTAAAGAGACTCATTTTTGTTCAAATAGTCCATAGAAGCATAATAGTGGCTGTTTTCATCTCTCCTTTGAACTCCAAATTGTCATGATGAAGGTTGTCACTTCCAGATGACATTTAATAGTTTTTTAACGTATCGTTACTGATCAGCAAACACCGTCATCATGGACTGTTAGCAGCTAATGCTAGCTTCCTGACATCTGACATGAGGTATTATACCTCTTACAGAGTTAACAGTATGTTTTAAGCCATATAACCTCAGCTGAGTATTAATTCTCACCTCTGTGGACTACGAAACACCACTATTGTCACGTATTGCCGCTGAAGACAGGATATTTCTCCTGTGTTTTGGTCTCGGCTGCGAAGTCTCTGGAAGTTTATTATCCACACATGCGCAGAACCGACTTCCGGTGAAGAAGAGACAATCGGAAGTTGATATATAAAAGGGCGCCTTTCTTCAGAACAACGACATGAGATACTGAATTACATCTTTGTAAGTTTCTGGCGCATTATTACAGTATAATTTAAAACCATGTATAACGTTAGTTCACTGGGAATGGTCAACAGTACAATAAATGGCACTGGAATCAGCCTCAGTTAAATATTTACGTAGTTTTGTAAATGTGATCCTATAGCCTAGGTTGAAATAAGTCCAAAACATACAGCTAAATGACAGCTTCGTGCATGTATGGTACTGTTTAACCTTTTTATTTGTTTGCCTCTGATTTCTCAAGGAAAATTGTATCCAGTGTGCACCAAAATATACAAAAACTTGCTGCTTTTTTCATAGTTGTGTGCAGTTTTGTACCCTCCTGAACATTTGCTGTAGTCTAAACGTTCTTTGTGTCTTCATTACAGTGTCACAATGCCTCTGTCAACCCAGTCGCAAGGCGATGCGGAACAGTACGTTTTAGTGGCAAGTTTGGACAATGCTCGCAATCTGTCCAACATACTGAAAGCCATCACCTTCAAAGACCATGCCATCTTCAGCGCCACACCCAATGGACTGAAGGTCACTGTGGAGGACTCCAAATGTCTGCAGGCCAATGCCTTCATCCAGGTGTGACTGCTTTAAGTGTTTAATAATCCTTGTGCTTTTTAGATCAAGTTTAAAGCATTTTGGTTCCCTCCAAAATATAATAGTCATACTTAAAATAATATCCATCAGTTATCATGAACCAGAAGTACCCTAATATAATATAGTCCTCAAAAAGTATCCTGCAAATTGAGACACAAACTGACAAGTCTTCTTTTATTCCAGTCTGAAATCTTCCAGGAGTACACGATAAAGGAAGATTCGGTGGGTTTCCAGGTCAACCTCACCGTTCTGCTGGACTGCCTCAATATCTTTGGAGGAAGCACAGCTCCAGGTGAATAAAAGGAAATGGTAAATAATCTGTTCAAACACAGTTTACTAAGAAGTTAGATTAATATCCATTGTCATTTCCTCCCTGTGTGTTGTTGCAGGAGTATCAACAGCCCTGCGGATGTGTTACAAGGGGTACGGTTACCCTCTGACCCTGTTCCTGGAGGAGGGGGGGGGTAGTGACAGTGTGCAAGATCAACACCCAAGAACCAGAAGAGCTAGTTGACTTTGAGTTCTGCAGCACCAACGTCACAAACAAGGTGAACGTTGTGTGTAATGAAAGCGATAAACTACTTTTATGTTTCCTTGCAATGTATGTTACTTACTTTACTAGCCAATAAGGGATACAAATGACAGTATCCGCATGTTTATTGAGAGCGATACACCACCTATAACTACGCTTTCACCTCTTTTTTAAAGGTGATCCTGCAGTCAGAGAGTCTGAAGGAAGCCTTCTCCGAGCTCGACATGACCAGCGAGGTGCTGCAGATCACCATGTCCCCCAGCCAGCCATACTTCAGGTGTGTTTAATGCACAACTTGTGTAGCATTTTGAAGCATCACTACTTGTCCTACAGTATAATGTTTAAAGGATTTGGTTCATTATTTGATGGTTTAAACTTAAAATAAACATTTAATTTTCAATCAATAATCCTACTGATGATGATATTAAAGGAGATATCCACACTTATATCAATGTAGTGTTAATCAGTTAGGACTCTTTGATACTTTCAGCACCTTAGCAAACACGAGGCCGTGTGGAGCAATGGTCATCCTGCATTAATGATTCAATCTGTCAAGGTAAAGGAATCACACATCTTCCTTTCAGCTACAGCGTTCATTGGTTCTGCCCTTCAGGTTGTCTACATTTGGGAACTCTGGAAATGCCCATTACGATTATCCCAAGGACTCTGACATGATGGAGCTGTTCAAATGCACCAAGACACAAACCAACAGGTTAGCACTGAGAAAAAGTGTTTTACTACCTGTTGTCACATTTTCCTGTCCTTATAATGACCACCTCTAGCCACACACTGAGGAGAGTTGGTTTATCTATATATGCCTGTAATGAGTTTGAACTAAAGCTCCACATTGTGTGCTGTTCTCCCCGTGACAGGTACAAGATGTCTCTGCTGAAGCCCTCCACCAAAGCCCTGGCCTTGTCCTGTAAGGTCTCTGTGAGGAC